TTTTTTTGTTCCTTGATATTAGAATAAGGGTTCACGAGATGTTCATCAAGACAAAAAAAGGAGAAACTTCACACGTGGGAATCTACAAGTATAAATACGTGGGAATCCACAAGTATAAAATGTACCTTCGCTTTTCAAACCATTCTCTGGCATAAGAAACTTTGATCAGATCGCTGCTCTTGGAAGATTGGTCAACCATGGCCAGCGCAGGAAGAGCCTTAAACTCGAGTTTGAACCCAGAGGTATGTTCAATAGACAGAAAGTTGTTGCCAAAGATCATTTCTGGAATAGGAATTCCCAGGTCATTCGTGGCACTTTTTTTTTTTTTGTTGTTAAAAAAAAAGGTGTGGGTGTGGAAATGTCAGATTGCAAAGGTCATGTTAAGATGAGAGGTATTCCTTGTAATGGTGTAGAAAATAAAAAACGCGTGTTGATTAGAGGCATCTGAACCACGAGAAGTCGTAGGGGAAGCGACTGAATTACGCACTTGTCAATCTCTTGAGAGTTGAGGATGGATTCCTTATGTGAGAGAACAGTCCAACCCTGGATGGCGATGCCAGACGTGCCCTTCTCCTTGATGAGTGTATGTGTAGCCATTTGGGTTAGGGACAAAGAGAATGGTAGACAAAGGATGGCTCAAATGAACAGATTGCAGATTGTTAAGGTTGGGCGAAAGCAAAAAAAAGCATGTAGAAAGTATCACGTGCTGCACCTTATTGAAAACTTGACGCGCGACATTCTTATTAATAATATTCCTTTTTACTGAATGTGTAGCTCAACGGAAGGGCGAGCAATACCCGACCATATCTGAAATGGTTCACTAAAAAAGATTGCATACACGGTGATTGTCAGAGCCATGGCGACGAGGATCTTTGCTGCCTCCCAGACCTGATTCACATCTGCATGTTTGCCTTTGGACGCAGCCTGGATGATGTGCATCCTCTTCCTTCCCAATACGGCCTTTTCTTGAAGGTCATCTGGATGCTGATACCACTCTGGTACAATTAAACTGACAAAGCTGGGCAGGATCTCAATCAAAGTCCGCGTTGTCGGTATCACCTCGCCATCGACATCAAAGAAACCTGGCTTGGTGTACAACCCTTTTTCCTTGCCAGCAGCAGAAGTCACTTCCTTGTCCACAATCTCATGTGTCGACGGGTGATCCGGATGTCCTTCAACACCTGGGGTAATCAAGACACCGCCACACTTGATTCCTGTCATGAGTCCCCTTTCAATGAGCTTGCCGTTTTGCAGGTCCATCACAAATGGCTTGAAAATCTTCCAGAACCGCGTCTCGCATGAGTACCACATGTGAATGAGACCGTCATTAAAACGAATCTTTTTCGAAATGAGAATGTCTTCTGTCAATGATGGATGATTCATTGCGAGAAGAAAGGTGTAATAGGGCATATCGAGCAATCTCCAGGGCTTGGGAGGCTCTTGATCCTTGTATCGTAGAAGGGATCCATATTGAAGATGTGGTGCAGCGCCGTCCGGTGAGTCCGGAGGAGTAGGCGGCAGGTTGGTCGATAAATCGCTCTCATTCTTGGGTGGCAACACGTAGATCTTTCCTGGGTATCGGCGCAGACGCAATATCCGTACAAATCCCGCAATCTCGAATCGCAATGAACCAAGCCATCGGTACCTGCATTTTTTTTTTTTTTTTT